CTACATACATAAGTCTTTGGATGATTTTTAACTGTTTCAGTTCGTATAAAGAGAAATATACAGTGTTGTTGTAATAACGACGCCCTATCGATTACTAACCTTGAAATAAATTAATGTATCTATGTGAAAAACAGGCGATATGACATTATCTATCAAATCTATTGATGGAGCAAAATTTTCTATCTTTAGCAATAGTAGTATGTAATTGTTTCTAACAAACGAAAGTATTATCAATACTGCAAATTCAACTAAAACTACTGGCTTCAGAAGACATGCCTAAACATGCACAAATTGCTTAATATTTACTATTGATCGACTAAACATTTTTTTATTATTTGCACTTAGAACAATTCACCATGATAACGACTCTCGTAGGTACCTGTGTCGCGTTAGTTTAAATTATTTTGCCTGTGTAGTGTAATAGTACTTACGATGCCTTTAATAATTTTCTGATCTTGCTGTTATTGTCGTGTCAATGTTTCATCTTTTGTGTTTATTTTATCAAAAATTGTAACCGAAATTAAATCGATGTAGAATATCTACTGATCGAAGATATCGTCAATGGCTTTTTATATAATAACAAAAGGCCGCCTTTAAATAAATCAATGCTAATAATATTTCGGTTGCATTTGAAGTCTTTATCTGTATTACAAAATTTGTAAACAAAGCATATCTTTTTGAGATGACATGTTTCAACTTTTGATTATGTTAGTAAATAATTATTTAAGAAATGTACTTAGGGGCCGTCCTTTAATCACGTGATGTTTCTTTTACAGCATTTTTAACCCCCCTCCCCCTTGGTGATACATGCCCCCACCAACACCACCCAATTCACGTGTATTTTCAAAATTCTCCTAAAAAAATGCGTCAGATGTTTCAGACGGGCTAAGTTTCAGTAACCAGTACTGATGAAATTATTGATGCTCATTACCTTCGCTGATGACAGATTGCCAACTGCGAAAAGCACAACGTAAAACGTACCAGCCACGCGCCTTAATGGGCAAAAGTTGGCCGCAGAGTGCCCAATCATACCGTATATTCCTCAAGAGTTCTAGAACCGACCTTTATTGAACATGGCCATCCATCCTTTTGAACACAAGTCGTTAATCCGCCGCGCGGCGTAGAGCACTTCTCAATTTAAGATATACTCGTAGTGCTCTACTAGCGTTCTGATGTAGGCCGGCAGTCTGTGACGCACTAGAGCAACATGCTTGCGTAGCCTTCCCGAAAACAACCGATGGGATAACATCAGAAGAATTTCACAATTTGCACGAGGATGACAAATAGTTTCGAGTTTCTCACTCACTTCCAGGATAATAGTGGAACATTTAATTATATTTAATTGATTGAGGATATGGCGCATCGATACAATGAGTTGTGTTAGTCAACTTATGTGTTGTGCTTGTGCCGTAATATGGTATACATGCCCGCCGGAAGCGGGACTGTTTGCACCGTGTTTTGTTATTGTTATTTCGCATTGTGCTTGCAAATTATGAGCAGGATTGTTCTGAAGTTCTAATACCAATGTGCGCCACGGACAGTTGAAAATAGGACGTCGATGAGGACGGACGCGTGCCTTTACTGATATAAACAATATTCAATAATATTTAGTATTACAAAATTCCTTTCAGAAGCTTTTAAATAATATCAATTTGTTAGTGAGTTGGTTCTAAAAAAAATATGTTTAAAGTAAACGTTTTCCTCAATATATAATTTTGCAATATTGGTGTTGTGATTCGAGAAACTGAACAATACGTGATTTATAATAAGTTTGTGCGATGAAAATGGTTTTATGGTATTTGACTGAGAATAACAAGGAACAGGTATTTATAATTTTTGGTGACTGTTTGCAGAGAATTTGTAGCTTTCCGAAGTAATTTAATAACGACGCAGAATTCTTAGGAATGCTTTTAAGCGTCTTGCGTTTTAAATTACGACAAGAATTTTTCAAGGAATAGGTCACCTCGGTGAAATTTTTTTTCTTCAATGTTTTTTTACCAGTTTTTTATTCTATATAAATAACAGCACACACATTTTTGCTCGGAACCTAAGTTAATAATTTGTTTGTATAAACTAATTAAGTTAATATGTGAAGGCTTTGATTTTCTTTAATGTTAAAAACATTGCTGTTTTCCTATTGAGGTCATACGACAATTTCATTCATCAATAAGTTTGGATCATCCGGTCAGCCACTACACGGCAATTTCTGGTAATTACCCGCTAACGATGAATCATTTTTGATAGGATTAACACTCAAATGATTTTAATGTAAATAAATAAAACAATAATATGTCTACTTGAAAAATATATACAGTGAATTGTGAGTTGGTATCTTCTATCTACTATACTAATGATATTGATCCAAAAGCCAACTTTATATAAAAAATATAAATTGTTTCTTCTCATAAGTTCATTTCACTATGAATGTTCTTTATTGACACTTATTTTTTTTTATCGGTCCCATAAAAGCTACGAGAAGATTGCTTAGATGAGCATAGTAATGACTTATATGTCGCCTTTAAATTCATCTACACATATGGTCGTGTCGTCGGCTGAAACTATAAAAGGCTTAACAGTGCTTGAAGTATCTAACACAAGGTTACAAATCCACATCAGTAAATGATAACCAATGCACCGATGCTAGTAAACGCTCAATATAGTTATAGTATGCAGCTAATTAGATTCAGAACAATACCTTTTCTCTATTAAATTTAGAAGTAGTACAAGATAAGCGGAAGGTCTACTCTGAAGCACAAACACGATACGATACTAAACGGCCTTTGTCAATATTTTACTACCGAAAAACGACGATAATTTGAGATTTTTCTCGTTCCTATTTTATATTTTTTGTTACTGTTTTCAAGTAGACAACCTCAAGTGACTTTTCTGATCTGTTTCTAATATATATTCCTTATTTCTTTTTTTCGTTTATTTCATTCTAGGACAGTATGGAAATTACAAACTGTTTCTATTTCAAGTGCACGGTCGTATATTTGTCTATTTGGGTGATGAATTTTTCTATCTCGTTTTTCGTGCAAACAATCTGTCCACCCGTTTTGACACAGGCAAATATTATATCGGAGTCTACTCTACCTTATCGTCTGTGTCCTAACAAACATCAATGTATATTCGCGAATCTCTTTAAAATTTCCACGTTTTCAGATCGCGATACAAGTGTTAAGGCTCCCCCACACAGGCGCGTTATTATTACAGGTCGATAATATCGCAAGCGGTATTGCGTTAATGCGTCCCGATTCCTTACATTCCTTCACACAACTGCGTTTTTATCGTCCGATATTTCTTACGAGAGAGTAACGTTATTATCGCAGATGTGTGTACGGTCGTTTGCGTCCTGCCCTGCGATTTTGTAAAAATCCAGACCCAAATTCGAATTCACTCATGTGTCCGAATTCACGTCATTTAGTGTCAAAATTCTATTGATTCAATTTTTTTTGTATAAAAATACAAAACAAAATTGATTGAATACACGTGTCTCAGATATTCTATTCCTATATCATTTCGAAACTCACTTCACTTATGCTACGAAACGTTATTACCAATTCAAGGTTGAGCTATGCCTCTTTTTGAAGTCAATTCGGAAACCTGAGAGAATTCGAATTCGGGTTTGGAGTTTTACAGATTCGCAGGGCAGATAGAAAATATTCTAGAATTTATTTCGGAATATCGCAGGACGGATAAACGCAACGTCCTACTTCTTGCGGCGTTATTATCGCAGCAGTGTGTAACTACATGACCATCCTAATACAAAATGTACTGAAAACAGATATCGCAGTAACGCATGCGATATTATTGACCTATAATAACTCGCCTGTGTGAGGCAGCCTTTATTGGTTCACTATGTTTTTGCGTGTATTGAAAATGATTCAGGATTCTGTTGTGAGGACATGTGATTGCGATCTTATGACACAAATGTCACTCAGTTTTGTATTTATTTAACTACAGTCATGTGATACAGACTTGATTTTATATCTTTGATTGTTTGTTTCCACAATCGTATCAAAAAGTTGTCGTAAAAAAACTAAAATCCCTTCAACTATAGTCTTTCGTGATCTATTTCATGTATTCTAATATCATAAGAAAGAACCCATTTGTAATAAATAAACTAAATACTGGAATTATTTTAAAAATTATTTCACCAATACAAAGCTACATAAACAGATAGTAATAGAGTTCACGGACTAAGTTACTCGGTAAATAAAATAATTGTGAATTTATTTTAGAATCCCATCTAGAATAAGAGTGAGAAAAAGTAATATGATACGGTGAATAAAATTACTCAACTTAAAAGAAATAAATGTTTTGGTTGAAAATATATATGTCATCGATAATATTTTTTAAAACTTAGTTTTAAACTCATGATTAATATCCTATATTTTGTTTGCTAATATTAGAAAATTACGATTTTTTAGATTGTGTGTTTATTGGATGAATCATTATTTTGAATTCATATCGAACATAAAATCTGAATGGGGGCATCGCTGGGAACATCGCATACGAATAATAATACGGTCTCATTATGCAGTCCACATAGTTTTTTGTTACGCTCTGCGCTTTTTTCGCTTTCGATTGAATTATTCTCTTTAAGTACCTCCTCATTCATGTTTACACGTAATATAAAAAGTTGAGGGCTTATATATGATTCTTGAGGAAGCCTTTTCAGTTACATCATATTTCGAATGTTCGGAATTAATCACAACTTAAATATGTAGATCACAATTAATAATAAAAATAAACTTAATATATTTTGATAACAGTTTTATCGCTTCAAATGTATAGATATGTAATGTAAGATCTATTAAATTTATATTGTAACTCGCTGATGTGGACCGTGCAATTTTTCATTTCGCCTTTACATATTTTTAATCTGTAGACATCTGCAATAAGAATCGTTCAAATATACGCCAGTTCTATGCATTTTTAAAATTGATATTCAAGGAACAACTCTGTCACATTATCTAATATAACTGTTTTGTCCGTAGAGCGAGCAAACGTCGCCGTTTCGCCGCTGGACGACGGGTAGTGGCGCAGGCAGCTCTTATAGACATCACGACCACAGAAATATGTATAACAAGGTTAGTTGCATCAAATTTCTAGTTGAATACAGTAAGGCATTTGATTGACTAGCCTGTTAATTAACAAGTGTATTGAAGCTGTTTGAATTAAAAATATTTAATTTTTTTTTAAATATCAATGGTATAGTCCTTAAATATTATATTTGAAAAAAACTAGGTATTATTTGTTAACTTGAAATGGTTCTGGATTTGCCTTGAAGCGCTTTTAGATCTGCCAGGGATATCTTTTAATGTACAGACTTGAATTGGAATAATTTTAGCGTTTTGATCGACTCCATTCAATAAAAATCGATTAAAGAATTATTTTGGAATTAAACGTTTTGATTGCACAAATATTTTTTCACATAATGGCCCAATGTGCTCACTTCAGGGCAATAAAACATACTGTTCGTATAAATAGCAGACTAATTTTCTCCTACGAGAACATTTTTTTTTAGTTTCTGATAGCATAAATATATTCTAGAGGTATGTCTAATGTGTAATATAGTGTCTAAAAAAACTTGATTTTATCTTCGACACCTGAATAAGATTCAAATTGAATGAAAAGGCAGTAATTTCTTTTGTGATACTTTGCAGCAGATAAGCGAAGGTGCAGTTAGTGGCGGTGCTACTGGTACGGGTGGCGTGGCGCGATGGTCTTTAGGCCTCGAGCAGCTGCTAGCTGATCCTGCCGGTGCTGCCGCCTTCGCTCATTTCCTCTCCAAGGAATTCGCCGCTGAGAACATTAGGTACAGACACTTATTTGAACTATCTGATCTATTGAATGTTGATTTTAGTTTATTTTAAAAAAGCCTGAATCACAATCAAACATTGATACACATATTTACAGTCGTACAGTGTAGGTCAGGACCTTTTGATATATGTGATAAAGCTTCAGGCGTCGCCAATGACGTAAAGCGAAGTGCAACTAGCAAGCTCTAACAATAAAGATTTCGCGAAAAAAGGACATTTAACGTGATTGATCATGTACAAAATATCAACTGAGCTGAGTTGGTTTCTGCAAGAAATGCGGAAGTCACTTGTCGGTTATTACTCAACAATATTTACATCGTTTCTATCAGGTTCTGGTGGTCGTGCGAGCAGTACAGTAAGACTAGTGACCCGTGCGAGCGCGCCGCCCTCGCGGCAGAGATCTGGCAGCGACACCTCGACGAGAAGGCGCCGGAACCGGTCAACGTGGATGCGGCCGCAAGGCGAGCTGCCACCCTCAGGTTATGCAGCGAACCATCGGCGCCTGACCTTTTCCATCAGGTAAAAGAGACGAAATCGACATTTTCATCATTAAAATTAATAGCGTCCTCATAATTTGTTTTTGATTCTGTTAAATTAAATTCCATGCTTACACATCTATCTGACTGGCAGCACTTTGTGTTTGTGGTTTTGCTCTTTGTTTCTACAGTTACCTCTCTTGTCGATATGCATAAAAGTGTTTAATAAATTATAAAGTAAAAAATTTCGGCGTTTTTATCCGAAATAATAACAGATGCGATTCTTTATTTGGGGGTCGGTTCAATACATACGTCTTTCGCTTCTGACTTTTTTATCGCGGAGGAAGAATCAACGCATAAAACTTAACAAAATCTAGTTGATTGCAAAGAGGTCAACACTTAAATATGATGACCATATCCGTCCGTAACACACTTAAGTATTATAAAAAAAACTATATTGACAACATTTTGAAAAAATCTAGGACTGTGCTTGTGATCCTCCAAAATATGTCTAGAATCACAAGCACAAACTTTATCTTTAAATGTATTTTTTTCCGCGACTTTACGAAGCCGTAACATCTCCCCCGGCAGGCCCAGAAGCAGATCTTCAACGTGATGAAGTTTGACAGTTACCCGCGTTTCCTGCGGTCGAGTGTGCACGCGGAGTGCGCGCGCGCCGACTTGTGCGGTCTGCCGCCGCCGTATGCGCCGCGCACACTCACGCCCACCGACACACCCACCAAGGTAACACACGCACACACACATACTCACACTATAATCTTTTTCACATAGCATGGGTACGGTGACGTTTGGGATTTAAAGTTTTTAGTAATGTGGTAATAAAAATATATATACGCAAAAACTTGATATTATTGAGTTTATTTCTAATAGAGATAATCGATTTGGAGGTCAATGTACAAAACAATATTTGAGAAAAATATTTGTTTATCAACAATATGAACCTGAGTCAGAAAGACATAAAATTTTATTAAAATTAAGTTTCATTGTTAGGAAAATGTCAAATTGTTACCGAATACACATTAGAGGGTTAGATTACAATAATTATGACTATTTAAAATTTATTTGTGTTTTAAAATTCAAATTTAATAAATATCTAAAATATAAACAATCAAATTATTTTTTATAACAATGGTTTTTAATTATTTGGAAATACGTATTGTGTGAAATTTGTTAACAAACGTCACTGTAGAAAATATGTATTCCTTTAGTATCTCGTTAAACCCTTTGAATGGATTTAATTTCGTCAGACAAATGATGTTTCTGTCCTCTTGAAGAGATGTTAATCTCGGTCGTGGCATGCGCGGAATATTTAAAGTACTGTTATAAGTTTTAGTGTTTCACGGCATTGAAGATCATAATGGTACTATTTTCAAAGGAGCGTTCTTAATTATATGGCAACTACTATAAATTATATCTGTTCCGAAATAGGTAAAAAAGAGTATGGTCTAACATGAAAAGTATCATTTATATAACATGTTTAAAAAGGTGTTTTTTGGTACTTTTTTTGGTTACGAGAATAGCTATGCCTGAAATATGTGTAACTGACAATGGTACATATATAAATATAGTATGAAAAAAGAGTATGTATATATTTTTGAGTCCTCTATTAGTGTTATAGATGATAGAATACGCCTACATGATATTAAGTACAATAATATATTTTAGAGTACGGTTGGCAACCCTAATTCACTCACCCACCAAAGGCAACACAAAAAAAAGTTAAAACAGTTACATTAACGAATACGATATTACAGATTGTAAACTAATTTCAAAGTTTATCTGTATATTTCAACATATTTCATTGTTGCAGTTAAAAAAATCAGCGAGTAACGCATCGGAGCGGCGGCGCAGCGGCGGAGCGTCGCTGTTGCCATGGAAACTGCGCACCCCCTCCCGCGACCGCAACCCCGCCCCACCACCACCTCCGCCTCTAACCGATGTAAGTACACACTAGATTGACTTAATACTTTCTACTACGTGGTATATAATAATATGCCTACCAAAACCAATACTACAACTCTGATAGCGATTTATAATAGGTATATTTTTTGAGTAGTAGTAATTAAATAACATGTACTGAAAAACCCTCAAAACACTAAAAAACCGACCAAGGTGCATTTAAAAACAGGACCTAAAAAGTCAGTTTTATTTTTCTTTGTACATAACATATTTTTCAACTTTATCGTATAGAACACAGTAATCAACGTTAGGTTTGATTGAGTTACAGCTATGATCAGTTCTTCACTCAAAAAAAATGTTACCTTAAATATGTATTTGTTACAATCAATGAGAGAGTGTTCATAATTTTGTGCCGAAAACCTCTTTTTTAATAATGAAACAAAGGCCAATTTTACGGCTCTACCGTGTCGCACTTGTATCACCAATTCCTTTTGTAATAACATTAAGTAAATGAGCTGTGACATACCATTGTATTGAAATTCATTACGAGTAACATATGCTTTTAGCGAGGTGCCACAGACTCGGTAGCAAATGAACTAGATTCATTTATATTTTATAACGCCGGTTCTATTATTTTTTCAAACAGGAATAGAAACTCGATAGTGCGACCACTTAAATGTTGGACTCATTCATATTTTATAACGCCGGTTCTATTATTTTTTTCAAACAGGAACAGAAACTCGATAGTGCGACCACTTAAATGTTGGACGATTGAAAATTACTTTATGATATTATTTCAATAAAGATATTTTTATTTGTTTAGCTTATTCACTTTATCACTGTTATTCAAAATTAGCTGTTTTACCGCGACTTCGCACGCGTATGTCAACACGTATGATGTAGCTACCCGTAGAATTGTTAGTAAAAGAATTTTTAAAATCGGTCTAGTAGTTTCGGAGCTTATTCAAACAAACGAACAATCAAATCTTTCCTCTTTATAATATATAGATAACCAATTCAATATTTTCCACACTATTATGCTATCTTTAGTGCATGATGGGTGTGTCAAAAACAAACTGAAAACTCGAATCACTTTGTTTACTACAATGCACATGTCGTGACAGAAAATCTGCAAAGATGACTCTGCTAATTAACACCCAACTGGAACGCTTTAAATAACAAAACAATTATTTGACTTGAGTTATTGTGTGTTTATGAGGAAAACTTTGTTTGTCCATATAAACTAATGTGCGCTGTACCTACAATTTGCAGTTTGATTGTCTGTTGAATGTGAATTGTGTGTTCGAAAGTAAATATGGAACATGACATTTATGATCACAACTATTAATATCATAGTTCTGATCTTGGCACTATATAAATTTTTTAACATAAGTGATAAAACATTTTTTATAGATGAATAGAAGAGTACGTAGTAAAAAATTTAAATTAAAAAATACGAAGGTTTTCGTTTTTAAATGCAAGTCATTAAATTAGTTATAAACGGTTAAAAATCATAAACGTACAATTCGTCATCCTCCCTCTTTATATATTTCATTGTCGGGTGCGACAATCCTTTTTATATATACTACATCCTTCCAGACCATACTCTGTAGATGACACCTGAGTAAAATCGAATTCGAGTTTGGAATTTTACAGAATAGCAGGGCAGATGAACATTCTTACATACATACATACCGGCCTAAATCATAAACCTCCTTTTCGCTCGCCGTAGTCGGGTAAAAAGGGTTATTTTATTAATGAGATAAATAAATATTCTTAGATGAAACAGAGACTCCTACGGACAGCACAATTGATTAAAATTTTGTTGAATAGAAAAACGAAATATGATATTAGCTTCCCACTTGTAGAGGTGGTCCTGTATTATTCAAAAACCTTCCTCTTATATCACTCTGTATAATGATGAAAACCGCATTAAAATTAGTTAAGTAGCTTAAAAGATATAGCGTATAGACAGCGGGAAGCGACTTTGTTTTATACACTATGTATAGATATTTCGGATTTCGTGGAACTCGATGGTGTAGTGGGTTAGCCCACTCGGTCTGCGATACAGTTGTTAAGCAACTTTCGCAATGGCGGGTCATAGGATGGATGATCAAATATCAAAAATTGTATCTGCAAATGTTAACGCCCATCAATCCACACAGGAGTCGCGTGGTGGGTCGTGGCCCATTCTCCCTATTCAATTTGATTTATTCCATCCATAGGGAAGGACTTTTTAAGTCTTAAACCAGCGCTCTTTAATCACCCCGCCCTGAAAAAGGCAAGTTATATTGGAAGGTCTACCTTGTGAAACCCGCTGCGGTTCACCTCACGCGGATAGGAAGTCTAATATTCGGAGCGTGGTTATTTAAATAAAATATGTTCGTTCACGATAAGCGACGTTTATTCAATGATTCATCGATACACCAGATCATCCCCCTTACAATAAAAAAAATATAAAAAACATGATAAATAGTAACATTTCATCTTTAAAAAATGTATACTTTAACATTGTTACAATACAACTTGATCCACAGAAGCCTAATACATTGGAATGTCTAGTCAAAACAATCTCGGGTTATGATAATAAACATCGTGTCAGTATTCTAAGTCACAGAATGAATGTTCTAAAAAAAAATAGAGTTCTAAAGTCGCAGTTGTTTAATCATATCAATCTTAATTTTAAATGTATTTGTTTGTATAATATATAATTTTATATATATATTTAATAATATATAATATATGTGTAGTTATATATATTTTTATGATGTATATTTAATTTTATATTTTATGTGAAAATCAATTATAAAATTATGAGTCAATAGGGGAGGCCTGAGCAGAGAGAGCCCCAGCACTGGGTACATTATTAAGCTGGCGATGATGATAGACATTTTCTATTCGGTTGGGTAGGTGGTGAAGTCGAGTCAGTGGTCTGGTCAGTGTTCGTTGTGCCGCGTGGTATTACCGGACGGCGCGACGTCCGTGGTGGGCGTGGAGGCGGCGGTGACTGTGCGGCAGCTGGTCGAGCGGCTGCTGCAGCGGCGGAACCTGACCTGCAATACGTACGATGTACTACTCAAGGATCCGCACGAGGTCAGAGGATACGTAGTTATTTTACATTAATAGACATTAGCTCAATACTACATTTCCCCATATATTTTTTTAAAGAATCACGTCCAATTTTGATCTAAAAATTTACTCACTTTATTTTTTTAATTACGCCAGGTAATTAAATCTTTAAATAAAGTCAAGATATTTTTTTTTTATGGTACTATGATAACTATATGAATGGTGAAGCCGTAACACTTGTTTATTTTATTTTTTAATACAATTTCGGCAGTGGTGTTTTCAATTTTTTAATTATTTATGTTTTTATTTTATCATTTTAGTGATCAGTTTATTATGTTTACAAAATACATATATTTCGAAAACCCATCAAGGTCTTTGATTATAATCTTTTTAATATTTTTTAAATATCTTCTTAGATACTTTTAAAATGTAGTACCAGTGTCACTCGGGTTGATGTAAATGATACATTCATGTACAGTCTTTCAAAAGATTTAAGAAACTCACATTCATACATTAACCTAAAACGATACATTCCTTTCTTGAACAGTCATGTAAATAGACCTATAGTAGAATTTCCCAACCTGTGATAGAATCCTAGAACGAAAATGTTTTCTAGCAATAAAATTAACGCAGACGAATAAATTAGGTTTTTCAATCATGCAGGGTGAATCAGCGAACATAGATTTATCCTCGCCATCGAGCGTGCTGGGCGGTAGGGAAGTCCGCGTGGAGAGGAGAGTGGTGGTGAGGATAGAGGTGGCAGGCAGATGTGTCGCCGTCAGGTGCGGAAGGACTAGGCGCCTCCGACATGTGTTGCCGCCTGTACTCGCGCGGTACCTGCCCGCTGCTGCTCCGCACCGATATATCAACACGCAACCATCGCATCTGCATGTCGACACCAGAGTACAGGTGAGACTACTGTCATAGACATTAGGGTACACGTGAGACAACTATCATAGACATCGGGGTACAAGTGAGACAACTGTCATAGACAATAGGCTACAAGTAAGACAACTATGATAGTTGCCAGGGTACAAATGAGACACAGATATCAGAAGGATACAAGTGAAACTGCTGTCACACATAAAACTAATATACAAGAAATCTTATTCAGCTTTTAAAACACTTGTGTAAAGTAAAAGTACATCACCTGTTCGCAAATCCACAGCAGGAGATCATGTACTGAGATAAACCGCCAAAACATCGAACTGTTCTTCCCCTATTATATTTTACTAGCTGCTGTCCTGTGTCGTCGCACGCGTAATAGCTACCCGTAGGTAATAGAATTTTTAAAATTCGTCCAGTAGTTAAGGAGCCTTTTCGATGCAAACAAACAAACAAATAAAAAAAAGATCCTGTGTCGTCACACTTAACAATTACTTCAAGAAAAAAATATAATCAAAATAAATTCATACAAAGAATTGAATACGGAAACATTTTTTTATTTAATACTTTTGTTTTGTTTTACAGGAATTAGAAGGTGCTCGGTTACAAATAGTGGAAGTTCCGGATAAGGAGGAGCCAGGAATGACATGTATCGCCATACTGAGGGCTCATGCGCGAGACAATGACACCGATTCAATACAAGAAAATCATAGGATACACGACGACGCACAGGTAAATATACACTAAGGCTATAAATATTACATAAAATTCTTTGTGTCTGCCTGTTGAAATTAGGTAAAAGATCACAAAAGTACTAATTTACTCTGTTTCGGTCCCATTTAAAATCTATGCACTGACTGGATAAGTTACAGTCGGATTTTCTATACTTTTTATTATTAAATTTACACAAAGAAACTAAGAAAAACATTATCGTTCCACAGAGTATAAGTGTTGCCAGTACCTCGAGCCGGAGTCACGATTACAGCGGAACAAACGGTTTCACAGATACAATCGGCCTCCCCGTCACCAACGGTAGTCTCGGCATAGATACATGTAGCCTTAGCGATGATAATCTCGGCGGCAGTAATAGTGCACTTAACAATGGGCTTGGCAATTGTAACAATGGTCTTGGCAACGGTAACAACGGTCTTGGCAACAGTAACAATGGCATTGGCAACAGTAACAACGGGCTTGGCAACAATAACAATGGTCTTGGCAATAGTAATAATGGCAATGGCGGAGGACCAAACGGAAGAGTACGCGCCGCTCTGAGATCAGGACCACCGTTACATCATCACCCACCAGGTTAGTTTTATTTAGTATTTATTCATAACATTTTTAATGTATAAAGGCTGTAAAATGTTAGCCATTTTATGTATTGTCCATTGATAGAGTACATAATACATGGTAAGTTTGCATTCGGTGTACGGTTAAAATTCGTAAATTTTGTTTGTAGTTTTGGTATTGAAAAATAAGTCACGAAATTGCACAAAAACTAAAATTTACTTTTTAATAAACATAGAGATTTTGTTTTTGAGTCATAAAATAGCATGATTATCTTGATACCTTAAAATTACAAGTGGAGGTTTTTTGTATGTGCGTCACGTGACTTTAAACACGATCCACCATTGTGTGACGTCACTCTAAAGGCAGCCGTCACATTAGTCGTAAACATCGCATATTTATTATACATCAGTTTCCTACTTGGTGGTAGCCTTAGTTTATTTATATATGTTTTATTTCGTAATCGTTACTTACAAGTATTATTTCAAACAGAGTAGAATACAGCTTCATAAATTAGGGTCAAATAAAATACTTGTCAAAGTTAGACAAAGCTTTTATTTAGACTTATCTTAGGGTCACGGGTTCAATTTGATTAGGTCAACATTGAAAATCATCGTACTAACTCGTCTCAGGATCAGAAGCATATCTATTAGATATGAAAGTTTTCGTTTTTTTTCAATCTATAACCATTATAAATCCGATTCAAAACCATTTCAGATATTGATATTGAAACAAGGCTGGCTATTTGTTGATCGTGTGTTTAATTGAACTTATTTTCAGATATCAATACATATCTCTTATATCGCAAAATCTGCTTGCAAGATTTCGCCTTCAAAATTTTTTTTCTACTGTATCACGGACTTAATTATCAAGTATACGCGTCGATTTTATATCCAGATGTAACAGATTTTGTGTCGTTTGTTTATGAGAAACAAGTATATACAATTTGGTTTAACTATACGATATTGTGATACGTAACTTATTTCGGTTGCCAAATATGTTTTTGCATATATCAAACGCTAGCTGTTTTCCTATGACTTCATACCCATAAATTATAGCTTATATCAACCCCGGGTGATGTAGCTACCGGTAGGTAAAAGAATTTTTAACATCGGTCCAATAGTTTCGGAGCCTATTTGATGCAAACAAGTCTTTCCTCTTGATAGTATTAGTAAAGATAAGGTTATATAAGGTATACGATATACAAATAGCTAACCGGGCTTATAATCGAAAACGAACGTAATCAATATCTAAATCCAAACTAGAAAATGGTTATGTAACGGTTATGGAATAATAGTGAAAAAATGCCCATAGTTATCCTACTTATATTATAAATAGTTGCTCTATCACGTGAAAACTACTGAACGGATTTTGATGAAATTTAGTATACGCATATTTTTAATCCTGAATAACTTATAGGCTACTTTTTATTCCACTAATCGGTTCCTTGGGGAACACGTGAACGAAGCTGCTGGTGGACAGCCAGTCTACTATAAATCGGCCTGATTCTTTGTGTAATCATTTGTTGTTAATATTAAATTCTTCCAATTTTTACCTTACAGATTTCTTAGACAATCTCAGAGAGACGCAACGGCAGCGACTCCAGAATAAATGCTCGGGGTCCGCTCCCCGCGCGCCCCCGCCGTTACCCCCCAAACCCCCGCAGCGACCCCCTACACTCGTATGACCCCCTCAAGCAATCACACTGGACTCGCTTCATATGATCTACTTGTTCGAGACATCAGGAGTGTTAAACACTCTCTATTGAGCTGAACGAAAATGATCTGGAATGATCGAAATGTCTGCTCTATATTGGGAATGGAACTCCCTTTGAACCGAAAAGCCGGTTAGAGAAGAGCAACATGAATAAAGAACGCACAGAAGCAGTGAAAAGAAATCTTAAAATTTAAAATATTCAATCGGCCCTTTGTTATTTTGAATTCCTCAAATGACTTCATGTAAATATTCATAACGAATGTTCTGAGATGTACAATTGATGCCATGTTTAATACTGTTCCGGAGTGATAGGACATGAATGTACATATATAGGATTTCTTCATGTATTATACGAATATTGTTGTAATTTTTTTTTCATAGTTTGTGACTAAACACCGATGCCTTCCATAGCCATAAGACTGTACTAACACCTTAATATGTGGAATGGATGTATCTTTATATTTTTGCTATATAAATGTTTACTTATCGTAATAGAAAATCACATATACAGCCATGTTTGTAAATAAACCAATGTAACTATGCAGAAGTTAGATTCTTGATCCTTACATAACGCATTAAAGAATAGATACAAGATTGTATCTTTTAGTTTGTTTTCTTCCGTGAATATGAATTTCTACGATGCTACTTATAAAAATGGTAGTATTGCAAGTACTTCAAAGAGGGATTTATTAAATTTCAATGAAGATCCAAAGGCGGGCCATATTAGAAGTGATAAAGATCTCTTCAGCAGCTGATAAATTTATTTATACATACAATTTATATTGGACAGTATACAGAAAATTTATGGTATACAATTTTTTTCAATTGAATAAAATGAACTATGACTCGTTTTGTCTCCTCATTATAATAAAATATTGAATATGATTGCTGTAAAAGAATACAAAATTTTTGGATACTGATTTTCAATTTGAACTTGTAAATAAAGTTATGTTTGTAAAAAAGTGTAACATGTGCATTGAATATTATTAACATTGTATGTATAATGTAGAAACATAGGCACCGATAGAATATAGTTATTTATTGTAATGAGTTAAATGAAAGTTATGCTCAGAGTATTGAATATCTGAATAAAATTTATTTTTAATGCGATAACGTCTTTCAATCTTTTCAAGGGTACTTCGTTGTTTTTTTGTATTGGTTTTGTTCTTTTAGCAAAGTATCGGCTTGTCTGATAACTACGATAATAATTCTTATGATAAAAGAACAGAAAACTTGTGTTATTTTTATGCATTAGAATTTAAAAACGAATTCTATTCGATTGATTTTTTTTCCCGCCAAGAAGTTATCCAAATTCTGGAAAATGTAGTAGTCTCTAGGCGCAAAGGTCTGGTGAATACGGCGGATGACGGAGAACTTTCAACCTCAGCTCTTGTAGCTTGGAGACCATCTGGTGTGCAGTATGAGGTCGCGCGATGTTGTGCAGGAGCAGTGGAGACGAACGATTGACCAAAGCTGGTTGGAGAAGTGCGAGCTTCTCTATCATTGTGTTCAGTTCTTCATAGTACACATCTGCATTAATGTTTCGTCCCGTTTGGTAAGAAACTGTGATGAATTACGACCGCGTTAGACCACTAAACAGTGACCATTACTTTCTAGGGGTAAGTTTTCGTTTAGGGCATTGTTTGGGTGCTGAACCAAGTCCCATTTGTCGTCACGAGTAACAATGCATTCCAGAATTTCTTAATTTGTATGCCTGTTGAGTAGTGCAAGGCACGTCTCGTAGCGTACTTCAAGCTGGCGATCATTGTGTTCGTGGTATACCCATTTGTCAAACTTGCCAATTTGACGCAAATGGACCAATATTGTTTTGATGCTAACGTCGAAAGCTGCTGCTAATTCAACTGTAGATTGAGTTTCATCAGCTTTTAATCCGTCATTGTCGACCAGTTTTCGGACGACCACGGGGTTCATTTTTCATATCGAAAGTTTCCAGAACCGAAGCGGGCAAACCGATAGCGGGTGGTGCGTTCGTTTGTAGTGTTCGCTCCGTAACCGTCGTTGATGTTGCGTGCCGCTTGGCTGCCACGACGGTACTCATACTCCATAATTTCTCGTATTTCTCATACTTATCGATGACAACGAAAAATGTTCGAATGCGTTGAAAACAAAAGACTATTAAACAAATGACGATTTTAGAAAAAAGAATTCCCTTTTTTAAATAAAATTAATTTTAAATTCGAATTATCAGCCAAAAAATATTTTGCCTATACGGCAGAACGGCAATTTCATAGGTAAAATATTAAATAGTTCACGTTCGCACTCACTAGTTCGACGCTATCGAAGAAAACGAGCGCACTTTATATGTAGTCATCTGTTATATATATATATATTCTGTGTCATATTCTTCTCCATTACTGTGGTGGGGACTCCACCAAAGAATAGTATTATAGGACTCCACTTTTTATTAATGGACATATAGAGGCCTTCCTAAAATAAAACCAATATGGCTAAGATTATATAATGTCCTATATGGTTTTTTATCAAAAATCAAATAATCACCAATTATGAGACTTATTACTCAATCATAGACTTCCATGAACAAAAAACATAGACCTGCTACTGCTAGCCTGCTAAAGATGAGTTTGCTAATGGATAATAGTTTCAAATAAAATTTTCCATAATAGTTTATATAATTTAATTCTTTAACATTAATAACTATTTATCGGCTATAGCTTGGACTTCAGTCGGCTCTGGCTCCGGTTCCGGCTCTGGCATGATCCTGGTCAGCTTGGAGGGTTCTTTGGGTGGTGACCAATCCGGTATTATTTTATCATGGATCCGCCAAGTGCCATATAAATTTGATAGATGCTTTTCAAAGACCACATACTCAAGAACATCTTTCGCGAGGATCTCGCTGCCATGGAGTAAGCGGCCGAAACGGTCATACACGGCAAGCTGTTGCCGTGTGTGAAAACGTACTGTCAACTGTAAATATATAAAATAAAATATAAATAAAAACTGCTTAACAATCCACCAGTCACATGCTCCCATTTGGAAGATATATATGCTTTATGATTATTTAAACAAGACTCAATATTAATTTAAACAAATATTCAGTTATTGTTGGAATTGGTAGATCTATTATGTGTTAATGAATATTCACCAGGCAACATATTAGTTAATGCTGTAATTTATCAAGTAGGTGAAAAATTTTGCAATATTTCACTTTTCATGTATACAAAAATTACTACTTAATTGTAACATAAAGAAATTTTTATGAAACAAATAGTAACTGCATAAATCCTACCTGCCCAAAGATATTTTCTTTACTAATAACGTCAGTACATCTGGCGTGGACAACACGCGGTGGCTCCAACGAATCCAGAAATTTCCAATGAATTGTTTTGTAAAAGGAATTATGTCTAAACTCAGGATACGCTTTTTCTGTAACATACTGCCGTAGTCCCAGTCTATCACCATTCGCTAAACATTCATGTGCTTTTATGTAAATATTCTGTGCAAAAGCTGGGAACTGTTTGCTATCAAAGTCTTCTTCAAATGATTTGACTTTGCGTATTGCCATCATAGATTTGGACTTCTTTTCTAGAAGCTCAACAGCTTGTTTGGCACGGGTTGCAGAAACTAACGATGCCTTACCATCACCTTCTGGGGGCACATATGGTTCAAATACGCCTCCTGTAACATGACATTTTGAATTTATAAATTTATAACTTCTTTTGTTCTAACTCATTTTTAATTAAATTAATAAAAAACCACTACAAAAACTACAAAAAGCATTTAAACTACTTTATACACAATAGTGTTACTAATGTTTCAGCAGTGTAAGTGAGACACTACATGCTTTCATATTTACCACAATAAACAAGTTTAACACTGCATACCAGTAAAATATTTATAATTAAAAATAAACTGTTATATATATTGCTAAGCGCAAAACATGAGAATGGCAAAACCAATTCAGCTTATTTCTTTTTTGTTGTACTAGATGAAGTCTGAAGAACAATTTTATGGAGAGAAAAAATTGTACAAATATGAGGAAAATAGTAAAATAATAATTCTTCTTTCCCATACAAACTACTCTATCTCCAGCTGTGCAACATTTGATGTTGATCAAAGCAAAATAAAGGCACGTTAGGATTCTCTTCGGTATGCCTTCTTTTTTATTACAGATTACATGTTGCAGACCAAGGTCTGCAGAACAGCTTTGGGTCACACAAACAAAGATGTTGGTGGAGAGCAATAAATCTTGTATTACAAAAAGAAATGATACGATAATAAAAACTTGCACCTGTTGCTGAAATATAAAATGGCCTCTCCATCCATGGTCTGGGTGGCATTATCCCTTTCTCCTTCATCTTCTGCCTCATTTTCTCTCGTGACAGAGACTCTGTGTCTTCATTGAAATTAGGCAAATCAACCTTCAAGTATTTCTGAGCTCTATGTTTCTTAAACTTAGGGTTGTAGTGTTTTGAGGTGGTGGTCCGTACTTGTGTATAAACCATAATAGGTGTCATTCGCAGAGAACCACACTGAAAACCAAAATTAGCCCATAAAAATTAATTCAATTATTTCTTCACTTTAATTTAAACATAATATCATAATTCGTAGATATGAACATAACACATACATAACACATTCTGTCTTGTTAGTTTTAGATGTATTTGAAATAGAAATTGATAAATTAATAAAATCACCTACTTTTGCTAATATATAAGTAGCCATTGCAATTAAATTGTATTTATTATACTGATCGTATGTGGTTTCAGACAACGTTTCTAAACAAACGTCGGTAATTGTTCTTTTTAATATTGAGCACTATTCTTTGTTAAAATTAGCATTTTATTAGATTACACTAAACTATCAACCACCCCAAATAACCTAAATTAAATGAATAGGATTGGTCAAAAACTATCGATATATCAAAATATCGATATTATTTCTGAAATAATCGATATAAATCATCGATATATTTCCAGCGATATATCGGCGTTCGATATTTATTTTCAGATATCAAATCCATATTGTCAGTCTATGACCTGCTTGTCTTTTTTGTTTCCCACTGCTTGTTGGTTTGGTTAGTATCAACAATGACAATGGTTAGTATCAATAATTACAATGACACTGCTTGTTGGTTTGGTTAGTATCACTGAGAGTGCTCCTGATGTTAATATCAGACAAATACTGATTTGTTTGAATAATATAATTTTTGTTGTGTTGATGAAATTGTTTTCTTGGCTTTATGTACCTATTTTAAATAACAAAACAGCCAGGTGTTTATTTTGTTTAAGATTTCGAATATTTTGTCAGTTTTATAGATAATCGCTTATTACGCAGAAAATATCGATATATCAATAAATCGACATACTTTTTACAATATTTATCAATAAATTTGAAAAATATCGATACTATATATTTCGCTATTTTTTCCCCATTTTAATCAACCTGATTTATAGGGATAGGCCCTATAAATCAGGTTGATTAAAATGTCAATGTCAGATTTAGCGGTGGGGAAGCAACGACGTATCAGAAAACCGATAAATACCGATATATCGACGTACAAAAAACCGATATATGTCGATATCGAAAATACCATCATATTAAAAGCATCAAATCCTTAGGGTAAATGTATGTCAGTTGTTCAAAGTTTCAACATCCAAAAGCATTTTCACCTGTGATATGATATTAATAACACGTGTCATATATTGTTTTGTAACCCTTATTTTTTTGCTTTGATATATGTAGTTTTTATTGTTATAATTTATACTTAATACCAAAATAAAGTGTTATTCTCAATGTAATCGCTATTTATTTAAAGAGGTAATAAGACGTTTTCCATTGACGACATTGATAGAATGTGGTGTCCAGCTACTCGGCTGATAAAAAGTCAGCTTGTTAATTGAATGACACAATTCAATCACACAGCTAGCCGCTGAATTGGTTGGCTGATATCACTTGGCTATGTTATATACTTTACTAACAAATAACAATTTGTTTATTATTCACTTACCAATAATGGCATATGAGAAAGGGGATAGATAATATATCTTCTGACATCACGAGCTAGTTGCCCCTTGGCGTTTTATGTGCTGGGAAGTAGAGCAACTCTCATACCGTTGCCCCCGTCAATCTTATTTTTTGTATTCAATATAACAAGAAAGTTATTTGAAGGTCTTCAAAAGACTTGTTTAAGAAATTTTCATTCTTACGAGTGTTGTGAGAAAAATTGGTGCATCAAGATACAAAAATCACCCATCGTTAATTATTGATAGGTTAGTAACTATAACACTATGTTTTTATGCAAATTGATTGATTGATTTATTAGGATGCATTGTAATGCTTAATCAGAAAAATAAACAATATAATCTGGAATCGCCATATTCTCTTTTTAACTTGTTTTAAAAACTTTTAAACAATGTGAATTGGCAAGCTAGATTATTATTTTAAATGATTTATTTTAATCTTATATTGATGACATCATAATTAATTTAAATACAATGCAACCGGACCTTAATTCTGCTATTCTTACGTAGTTTTCATGGTTTAGCGCAATATGGCAAGGTTTTATAATTTTTCTGGCCAGGCTTTTATAAAGTAACCTTTTTAAAGGGTAGAAGAATATAAGTTAGTTTCGTAAGGTATTCTTTGTTGTAATTATACTTATAGTAAAATAGAGTAAAATTACAACAAATGAAACTGAAAACCAGTGGTGTAATGCATCAAATCAATGCCGATAGATTTACTACCGTTTATTCATAGTGTCAAATACCATTATCCTACTTTTCTGACAATCACTAATTATTTACAGTTACTCAAGAAGAAAATAATTATGTTATACATGTTTGCGGTTCTTTTGTAGGTACATACACATTTTATCAGTGACTTGTAAGAAAACTGTAATCTGCTATACTATTTCGTTAAATTTGAATTGAGGCACATCACTATCGAAGAAGTGTAAAAACTTGACAACACATACCCTATGAGTCTGTGCATAGAATAGTTTGTGTCTGAAGCTAAAAAACATACAGTTACGATAAAATTTAGTATGGACTGAGTTTCTCCGTACTCAGGATACATTTTATATTTGTTGAACGAGGAACTTTTATAGGAACTTCGATCAACTATATTGTAGATCGATATATAAAAAGCAAATCATAATGAGGAAGTATTAAAAAAAAAACATTAGTTCCCGAAATCAAACTAGATGTTGCTACGGTACGTTCTTGATTTCTCCATGACAACCTTTCTGGTTTTCTTTGAAGTTTAAAAGTAAATTAGTGTTCAAAACTCAACAAACAACCCATATTCTATTTGTATTGATGTCTAAGTTTCGAACTATTCAAATGTCAGTTTTTTATTATGTTAGTTTTAAGGAACGGAAATGACTATCTCTGGTCCATTCGTTTCCTGCATCAACTTTTGCTAGAGTCGCCATCTAGTGGAGGTGCTTTTTTAGTGCTTTCTTTTTTTTTAATACTTCCTCATTAATAAAAGGTGGTCCGTATAATTCCTTTTACAATGCTACAATCTCAATACAGGTTGCCTTTAATTTTGAACTTGGCAAGGCGAGCCTCAGGCGACAAATAATTGATATAGTTTTTTTTACTTAAAAGCTTCTCCGAAAAACCAAGGTATATTGGGTTTATCAAGAATTTTAGAATATCATAACTTCTTGCAGGATACTTTTCTAATTGCTCCCGCCATCCATGGTCTGCTCTAGTATTTTCTCAATCGACATACCATAACCTAAATATTAATCATATCCTATATTTATTTTTATATAGTATATCCTCTATAATCTGTACTGTCTTTTCTCTCTTTTCCTTGCTGGGTCATTTCCCTTTTCTTGTGGCCATCTCGAAGACGACATGCTGAAGGGATTCGGCTCAAACGCATCGGAGATCGGTCTTTCCTTATGCGGGTAGCATCTCGACGCGCTTCGGGAGAGGCTTACCTCTCTGATTATACATACGACCACCATGGGTCATTCTGACTTATTTGCAAACAATAACCAAATATTAACATATCATTAGTATGATAAGCACTAATCACTATCAAAATAAAAAAAAAAAAATAAAAAAATAAATAAAAAAACATGCCATGACCTTATTAAACGTTCATGTTCTAGCACAAGAAGATCGTGATGGAAGACTTTAAATATATCAGACAGTTGTAACAGCTTGCTTCTTAACGCATGCATTGGCTGCCTCGTTTCCAGGGATACCACAGTGTCCCGGTATCTATGCAAGGCTAATGAGAGGCGATTTAAGATGGTACACGTACAACGGTTGCGTTATTTTCAATATTTAAAATTAACTGGAAAAATCTCCCACGGAGGTGAAAATGAGGCTGACAATATAAATGGTTGTATCATGAAACTTTATATTTGGAATTTCTTTCTATTACAGTGATTTTATTATAAATATTTTATTTTATATTTTCTTAAGTGGCAGCACTGGCACTGGCTACAGTAACAGTGATTACTTTTGTGCTCTTTGTGAACAATGTCTATGGTCATTTGTTATTTTTTCTGACATTTTAGTCAAATACTTTACTATTCAATGTGAGATTTTTTAAAAAGCAGTTTAAAACTGATGAAATTTGTTGTGTCGTGTTTTAAAATCATATTATTTATTGTAAAGAATAGAAAATTTACAATTATCTGTAATTAAATAAATATATCGCTTTCGTTATATGTGCTCTTTCAATCTGTAAAAAGTGATATCGTGGCTTCTATAATTCTTTGTTCAAGTTAATTTATCTCTAAATATAGGGAAATATTGAGTACATGTTCTCATAAAGTAATTTTCAGATTTATTTCATCAAATATCGCAGTAATTTTTTGTATATCGATCTTCGCCAACCCACCGGACTTCCGGGCGCTTCTAGATTTATTGTCTCTAGTCAAAAGAAATAGAGAGCGACGCAGCGTTTCTTTCTTTTCTGAACAGGCGCAGTCCGAGAGAACCCGCAAAAGGAGTAAAAGGCTCCTACATAACCTGTCACTACGTAAGTATCTATAGCGCTCCCAGCTAGAATAAGATTGCGCAGTGTATTGAATACTTAGTGGCGTATATATAATCACTGCAGCTTTTCGAGTGATCTTTGTGGTGTCTACGTACTGTCGCGAAAGTTCCCTTGGGGGTATATTCGTGTGATATTTCAGCGGCTCCTCACATTTGTAGTAAGTAGAGTATTGAGACGACGCCATAAGTTGTCTAGTCCGAAGGGTTGATTTGAGGCTGCGAGTTGCGTGGCGCAGCGCGGCCGATGACCTTACGGGTAACGGGCACCACCTTTCCACGATATCATTACCTTAATTGCCACGTGTTTTTGTTTCAGCAATATATTGTATGAGTCAGAAGGTAGAAAAACCAGTATTATCGGGTCAACGGATCAAGACCAGAAAAAGAGGTACGTATTTTTTTCCATTGATAATAAGTTGCCTTGAAGAGAGCATAAATAAAGACTTAAAATGATTACCTTGACCATGACAAGTTGGCTGTCTTTTATGTATCTCCATAACATAAAATGTCATCAAAGTAGGTCATGTGTTTGACATTTTTAAAGTTTGCACAAAGAAAGTGCTTTGAGAGTAATTTCTGCTACTGCTGTGCCTATTTAGAATTGCTCTATATGAAAAGCAAAATTGGTCAATTATATATTATTATTATAATTGATCAATTTTGCATTCACTATGCTGTACAGAAAAATATTCAGAGATTTTTTAAGCATTTTTCATTAAGAATAGCTTAAAAATAAAATTGAATATTCATTGTTTAAATATATGTTTATTTTAATGAGTCATTAGAAAACTTTTAATTGTCCTTGTTCTTGAACAGCACTTTTATGTGATAAACATATATATATTTTTTTAATTTAATTCCTGACCTGGATACAAGTCTCAGTTGTATATGCAAATAAAGTGGAGTATAATATAGAAATAATGTGATGCCAATTTAAATATATTACATGCTGTTTAGGTCATGACATTTATTTCTAATTCATAATTATAGTGGATAATCAAAAGCAATGTTTTGTTGACTTTATGCATATTAAGATAACATAATCACCAATTTCTAATACAGGAATTTCAATTAATGATTTGTAGTATTATAAATTATTTGTTGACTTTACCATATAAACAATATTCACAATTTAATATGATAACAAATGGCAATGTGCCAGATTTTACTGCTAAAACTATAGGTTTAATTGCATTATTTTCAAGCAAAATTTAAATTTATTAGTAAACAGTTCATATTCAAATATATGTAATAACAAAAAAAAAATATTGTAATACCTTCACAATTATAAATGTAATATGATTACTGTTGTTGTTTCTTCCTAAAATTCATAATATTTGTTTATTCGTTAGACCACTTTTCAAGTCTACCTTCAATTATGGTGATACAGTTTTTGTGGAAATAATTTGGTATATTGTCTTATTCCTCATTGCACTAATTTAGAATACTAAAGCTAAATTATATAACTATTTATATCATGCAACTGTTTATATGTTTATGTTGATTTTTCTACACCAAATTTAACATGCTGTTTTATCTTCCTTGAGTTAAACTTACAAAAGGTTTAATGTTATATTTTCAACCTTTAATAATCTTTTGAAATGGATACTCACAAAGAAATTGAGCCAGATAGTTGAATAATGATAATTTGAAACTTAGCTAGAATGATTTAAGAGAGTGCATGTGTAATGCAACCAACTAATATCTAATTGAATTTGAACAAATTGGACTCTAATTAAAATACACGTTTTTGTTTGCACAATGTGTGTGGCATTGCGTCTGTTTGTGAAAAAATAATTGTTAGAGAAAAATATTAATTCTTTTTTAATATTATTGTAATGAATGATGCCTATTTTTGATCCCATTGATCATTAAAATTATTATTAATAACAACAAATGATTGTGACAAACAAATTTTAATAGGTATGATGACAGGGTAAAAAAATAAGTTCTTTTTAGTCTTATAGTCAGATAGAAAAAATATTAGATACTTTTTTTTTAAAGATAATTGGCATTATAGGTGTGGAGCGGGGGTTCACTACGTCACAGTTTTGTAGAACACATACAAGAGTGCCATGTCATGTGACGTTGTAACTCAATGTATTACTGTTTTTTAATGATTATGAAAAAAATAAAAATATTTTTTTAATATTTTGCAACAATCTATCTGATGGACACACAAAAAAAATTTAGTCATAAACTCTATTATAGGGATTTCTTTTTAGTCAATATATAATTGGTATATAGGATAGTATTCGTTGAAAATAAGTGTAGATAGATAATATATTTGCTACAACAGATGCACACACATAAAAAAGTACATTTGTACTTACAATATATAAATTATAAAAAATCGTCATACTACTCCAATCTAACCAGTAGTATTACTAATGGCATAACAAAATGCATGAAATTCATGCAAATTGCAATAATTTTCGGATACCCCTACCCATTTAGTATTGATTCGGAAAATAGTATTTTGCCTTAAAATGTAATTTCTAAGATTTTTTATAACCTTACATACAAAACATGATATAAGTTAATAGGCTAGTGTTTTTATCTTTTCAGCCTTGTTTCCTTATCAATTTCTTATGGAGGTGTTAATAAAGAGCCTATTGTCTGTTTGAATGTGTGAGAAATATTTGCTGTTTGTTTATAGAATACTATCAAGTATATATAAAAATAGATGCGTTATTTTATAAATACATAATTAACACTTAAACTTGATTTGATTTTAAACTTGGTATAGAATTTTTTTGGCCATGACATTGTATCATACAAATTGTGTAGGTAAATGCAGACAAAAAAAATATGCCTCGAGGACGGCAGTCCAAGTTGCTTGATGGATAAATCAAATATGTAGCAGATTCCGTGATAGGGAGTAAATATTAAATTATGCGAAAATATTGAAAAAAATAAAAAAATGTAAAAATACCAAGTAAAGAATATGGATGACGATTGGGTCAAAAAAATTAATTCTATTTACTCCATCAGTCGGATAAAAAAAAATATTAGATATGTATTTTTTTACTTAAATCAATTTAACAAGAAATAATTTAGATAACTAGCATTAAAGTTGAGGAGTGGGGGCTCACTATGTAACAGTTTTATAGAAAATGTACAAAACCTTCACGTCATGGGACATTTTAACTCTAACGTATCGCCGTTACGAAAAAAAAATACGTCTTTGATATGTTTCAACAATCTACCTGACTATTTTTTGCGAACACTTTGAAAATAATGGTTATTGTGGTTTGAATTGCCAGATGGTTGGGATTTGTCATGATTATTTTGAGAATGTCCAGAGTCCTTTTAATTTTTTTTATGAATTCTTTCATCTACGGAAAGCTACATCATCCGCGGGTGATATTTATACTAATAAATTATATATTACATTGAATAGACTTCCGAAACTACTGGATGGATTTTAGAAATTCTATCACCTACGGAAAGCCATATCATACAGCTAAAGCTAGACGGGTGGAAACAGCTAGTGTTAAAAAGATTTCATAAAATAAGCACCTACAGAACCGTCCAGATTACGCGTGAGACGTACGATACACGCCCGTTTTTTTTACTTATTTCTGTTATTATAATTGTTAAAGTTAATAATAACGGTTATATTCCATCGTACTGTATTGATTTGCTTTCTCTTCTATTTTGTAGAACCATTATTATGCGTCATAATAATAAAAAGCTGGTTTTTAGTCTCAATCGCAATAGTAGTTGTCTATTGATGTTATTCAATTTAATGTTTTTAATTTAGGTAGTTAAACATAATTTAAAATCTAGAAAATTCCACCAGTCCCACAGTATACGCATTGGTCATGCATGGGTAGTGTTCCCAGATAAAAACAAAATCCCAGAGAAAATTCCTGATATGTATTTGATGAAAGTTTCGGACGTTTTCGCAAATATAAAACTAATTATGTATTTTGTATACATCGTGTAGGTTATTAAACTTATTAAACGATTTAAATTCAAAATAATAAGACCCGTGAAATGTTCTACAAAGCTATTACTAAAGCTTTGAGAGTATTGAACACTATTTCGGGAAGCATTTTCCTAAAAAAATAATGTGAATAATTATTTTCAGGAAAGCTTTCAATAGTTACGTAGGCAAATAAATAGTTCTGGAAGGAATGTGAGTTTATATCCTATCCTATTAATATTATAAAGGCGAAAGTTTGTAAGTATGGATGTATGGATGTTTGTTACTCTTTCACGAAAAAACTACTGGACGGATTTGGATAAAACTTTACAGCAATATAGGTTATACATCAGAATAACACATAGGGTACTTTTTACTGGGAAAACTTCTCACTCCCACGGGATACCGACTTCCACGCGGACGAAGTCGCGGGCGTCCACTAGTAATCAAATAAATGTTGTTCTTGATTAGAATTCTCTCGCATTAATTAAACGTCTTCCAGTTTGAAATCGTTTACCTTAAGATTATAGGTACGACATATATTGCATAGTTTTATAGCAACTGTTATTAGATATTCCACTTATTACGTACTTAAAATTTTAATCGGATAGCGTTGAAGGTCTTTTCCTATTTATGAATATTTCAATACTCTCATGTGATTTAAAATATCAAACTGTTTGTATGATATCAGTCACCTAGCTGCTTTCCCGCGACTTTGCCTGCGTAAATTATAGCCTATGTAATCTGCGTATGATGTAGCTTCCCGAAAGTGAAAGAATTTTTAAAATAGTTCTGTTTGCTTCGGATCTTATTCGATGCAACAAACATACTTACAATCAAACAAACAATAAAATAAAAGTATGTAATTGTGAGGATATAAAAATGTATAGTTTTGGTATTAAACTTATTCTAGATTTATCTCGGCTAACGCTATTCATGAATGTATTTAGAATCGAGGGTTCTCTTGAGCAATCTTTAGATACTGTTAGAATTATAATGATACTTTATTTGCTGCTACTGTTGAATACCAAATGAATCTTTTTATACTTGCAAAATGAACAGACATGACTGGATGATTATCGTATTACAGCCACATGTATCACTTCCCAAGTTATATAGTACCTACAAGTAATAAATAAAAGTAAGGTTACGAGAGGAAGTTTTTGTCTTTTTGAGAATCATTTTAATACCCATTAACTGCAAGAAGTGTTTGCGAGAATCAGAGAATATATCTCATCCAGAGAGTAAAACAGTAATAGCATTATTTAGGATTTAGAGCAATTTGTTTAAAACTTCTTTTGATGAACTATATAACGCTTTGTTACTAATTTTAGTACTTAATCTGAAACTATGTATTAATAGAATTGAATGAATATCGATTGATTGAGGGAAGCCAACTAAAGCCAAAGTGGAACAGTTGTCGCGTCGCAAATAAAAATATGTTTTACTTATTGCTATAGGTATAGTGCTACTGATGTTATAAATATTAGACAACATCACATACATTGCTTAGATCTTAAATTAAGTAGGTCAGATACTTATGGAAATCTGAAACAAAGGTCAAAAACCACAACACACACACACACTCTTGAAATATATATTTTTTATTTTTAAAATATTTTTATGGTAGCGAGAGTTGGGAATGTCAGAAAGAGTATGTAACTAGACTGAATGCAGTTAGTTCGTTACGTAGAATATACGAAGTAACGCTCAAACCGCATTCGTAATGAAGATAAGAGTTGACCTGAAGGATACGGTTAATATAAAAATTAACAGAAGCGTGCTCAGTTGGTTAGGACATGTGGAAAGAATGACGGACGAAAGTGTGACAAAATTGACATCCGTGAAACTGGAAGGATGTAGAAGCCGACGAATGCCAAAACCTCTCACGAAACAAATCAATCGCGTGCTGTTTGAAGGTGGTGTTAGAAGAATGTATGTAAGGACCTTGCCTTGTGGAACTCTATCCTCTTATAGATTTATTCTAATACGAATACTTTTTAAATATATCGTTTTAACCTGACTGTAACGTTTTTATAATCATTATTAAGATCGACTTTTTTTTGTCCTAGATGAGAAAGAGAAGTATGACCCGAACGGGTTCCGCGACGCGCTCGTGCAAGGGCTGGAGCGCGCCGGCGGCGACCTCGAGGCCGCGTACAAGTTCCTAGACTCGGCTGGCTCCAAACTCGACTACCGACGATATGGGGAGGTCATATTCGACGTCCTCATTGCCGGGGGGCTGCTGCGTGAGTGCATCTCTCAATATAACATTAAATCTTACCTAAGAAATTGAAGTTACTACTTCAGTTGCATTATGGTATACTCAGGAATACTAAAACCGTGTTATGTAATTATAATATGATTAAAATATTCTATACTATGTATATTGTTCAGATAAAATGAGTTGAATTGTTGAATATTTCCTTTAATTCTTTTATTTTCTATTTATTTTAATTCTTTTTAGAACAATTGTTGATAATCATTTTATGCATTATGTACATTGAAAAAATAAAACAGAATTGTTAAAGACTAACCAGATTAATAAAAGGTATTAGAATCTCTGCAAAGTGACTATCAAAAGATAAGAAAAGCTATCTAAATAACTGGTTTTTGTATCAACATTTTCATGATGAAATGATTGGCTAGAGTCCTGAAACTCATGTTGACAACCTTCGTTCATTACTGATTGCTCCCAGAATCAGTATTTCTGAATGTGTTTCCGTACATACAGTGATGTATAGTGATGTGTTGCAGTCCCCGGCGGGTCGGTATCGATGGATGGAGAGACCCCCAAGACCAACATTTGTATTTTCGCTGCTAGCGAGGACATGGAGACCATGCGCAATTTTGAACAGGTAAAGTGTATTTGAAACATTTTAGTCCTTTTATAAATTCATAGTTCAATCACATTGAATTTTGTTATAAACAACGTATTTTTAGTGTCAAAAGTTAAAAAGTCGACAAAAGGTACATAATAGCAAAAAGTAAAAGAATTTATCTCTATTCCTATCTAAATTGACGTGAAGAATTTACTCTGAACACGTTTTTTTTTTTTACCAAAATGTTGAACTTTGAATATAGTATGAAATACATTGATGCTAATTAGTCTGCTCTGCAAGTAAACACGACCATAAATCGTATATATTATCATCATTAAATATTCGAACTAAAGAGATTCTGCTATTCCGCAAATTACTTTTGTATTGACAAACTTATAGAAAAAGCTATACAGTGGCTGCCAGCTATACGCTGTCTTTGAAACTCGTTAAAACAATACCGTTCCGTCTAACAACACTTTCGCTTAGTCACAGGAAAGGTCTGCATCATGGTCATTGTACTGTTGTTGCCGAAAGTGTTATAGCAATTTTTGCGGCATCGATACATTAAAAAGCAGTTGTACTATCGATAGTACTATCAAAATTGTTTTACCGAGACTTCGCCCGCGTAAATTATAGCATATGTCAACCGCGTATGATGTAGTTTCCCGTAGGTGAAAGCATGTTCATAATGAGATCAGTATTTCCTACGGACTTAACGACGTTTTTAAATGATTATTGATAATATCCATAGTAAAAATGCGATGCTGTTAAGATTTAATAATCTTATCGTTATTATCAATAGTATTTTTATCAGCCTGTAGTGAACTGAACTGAACTATTATAACTGTCGATAGTTTGACTGATTTCAAGGTTACTTATGTTATGACCATAATCTGTTTGTCCACGAAGGAAATTCTGAGAATTTCGATTCGTTCTTATAATTTTGTTAAAAAAATATTCGTGAATATTGTCTGTGCATCAGAGGCAGTGTCAGTTTCTACTTCCCCTGCATGATAAATTATCGAAAATAGACGAAATTATTACCGATAGTCGACACAACCCTGGCGCTGAGATGGTTCAATGAAGTTTTCTATACACCACTACCCATTTTCCCAAATCGTGACAATTAGATCTTCCTGGTTTTTGTAAATGGCACATTGTTGCTCTCTTTGAAAACATAGAACGTAATACAATAGTTTTTCTCTCTATCGACAGTAGGTACAGTGAAAAAGTAAATAACAACCACCATATTGTGTTGCAAATAGATCGCGTCACGATTTTATTACAATCAAATGAATGGTAACGTTCGCTCATAAGAGGAAGTCTTATATTTCTGCTATTCTATCATTGTTTAAAATCTAATAATGAAGATTACTCCATATACAATCTTCAATAGGGTGGTGGAATATTAAAGAATTTGAATAAGAATACGAATATTTGCTTACGGAAAAATCACCGAGGTAATAAATATATTACGATTAGCGTTTGAATGTTACAGCTTTGAGATCTAAAAAGTATACTGTAAAATACAGACTATACCATTTTTAACAAATCATTACATATTTTAGTTTTGGATGTTTTATATCCAAAACAAAGATTCTTTTGAGAAAGTAATTAAGATTGATTTTCTGTGTTTTATTTTACCATGAAAATATATCTTATCTCTACGCTAAAATACGTTGTTTGAAATCACTATCGGTATCTATAATGTGAGGTCAGCTACTTAATAAATATTTCATGATGAAACACATGGCTAGAGTCCTGAACATGGATGTGGAAAAACAATCACTCGTTCAAATATTTCTGATATTGTGTATAGCAAGTATGTTTGAGTTAATTATATAATTGTGTTACTTCATAAATAATGTTTGTCATCAGGTGTTTGTGAAGCTGATGCGCCGTTACAAATACCTCGAGAAAATGTTCGAGGAGGAAATGAAAAAGGTAAAAATTGAATTACATTTATAGGAATACTAGTTAAGCCCGTGGTTTTGCCTGCGAATTTTTAACGCATTATCCCATAAAGCCTATTTTTTGCAATAAAAACTACCTTATGTCCGTTCCATTTTATTTGTCTAACAGATTTCATTAAAATTGATTCAGTAGTTTAGGTGTGAAAACGTGACAGACACACACAGTTAGTTAATTTGGCATTAATAATATGCATTAGTATGGATATTAAGGCGAAGAATGTTGTATTCAATTGCAACTAATGGTAGTATAGGTTTACAAATTAGGTAGGGGGTTTACAAATTATTTTTGTATTTGATAGTTCTTATATTTATGAATTTAAGCTTAATTGAAATCTGATGGCGTACAGCTAGTTATATGTTATTTTAACATCAAGTACTCTAGGATCTTTATGAATCAAACAATGGTGGGCTTTTCATACTTTTGGGTAGGAGCAGAAAAACTTTTTTTTTTCATTAAATATAGGGGAGCTGCCCTGTCATCATCATATCAGCCCTATTACTCCTCCACAAAAGGCGCTCAGGCCTTCCCTGAGGATGGTTAAGAACTATGAACAATGACCCTTCACGCGGGCTCAATGCGGATTGGTGGGTGTTAACGACTGCATACGCTGGACCAACAGCTTAACGTGCCTTCCGAAACACGGAGTGCCGAAGCTCGAGATAATAATTTTTTTGGTTATCCATCCCGTGGCCGACCCTAGCGAAAGTTCCTTTATAACAACGATCGCAGGCCGCGGCGCTTATTCACAACGCTACCGAGCTACTAATGATACCCTGTAGTCTATCTGAATAAAAAAAAAACTGAGTAATCAAATACGGTTTATAAAGCTTATGTCGATGATAATTATCTTTGAGAGCTTACTACACGTGAGACCACACACTTTTATTGTCTAATAAGAAAATATTATAAGTTGTTATATTTGATTCCAGGTGCTCGTCTATTTGAAAGGATTCGAGCCTCAACAGCGCATCAAACTCGCACGTATGACTGCCCTATGGATTGGTGAGTACAGATTCACATATATATATTGTTATACGCAGTGTGTAAAATGTGAGCATTATATTGTTATACGAAGTGTGTAAAACCTGTAACCAATTTTTTTACTTCTGGTTGCTTGAAATTAAAAATAATTATATAGGATAAATTTGTAATTAGTGCCCAAAATTCATATTATATTAGTTTTTTTTCTCTATTTTAACCTGCTAACATCGTAGGTAAAAATAAGACTTCTAGAAATATGAAGCTACTTTCTTATGATATGACTATTGTACGCAGAGTTTGATCGTTTTTTTTCAATATACCCACAGTTTGTTCACTACTATTAAAATAAACATACACACTTGACCTGATCATAGGTAAAAATTCCGCAAAACACGGCATGAACCGAGTAGATTATGAACCGAGTACGCTGTTATTTAGTTTACATAGAAATGTTAAATTATAAATAAATTAACATAATATTATGACGAGTTAACAAAAGTATATAAATATGAATAATTGAAAAGAAAACAATTTGTTACCGACAATGAAGCGTAAACTGATATGACCGGGAAGTAAAATAAGTGAAAGATCATAAACATTCAAAGATGTCTTAATTTGTGAAAATTCTTCTGTTTCTTCTGAAACATATTTCCTAATTATGTTTAAATAAAAATAAAAATTTAAATAAAAACTATACAAAATATAATTAAGAAATATGTAATATTCAAACTTTATACATGTAATTGACTTGAAAACATCAATATTGCAATAAAGTCCGCCGCTATACTTAGTATTTAGGTAGTTTCATTAACATTTTTAACACTAAAATGTAGAATGTTTTTATGCCTTTGTAACGGTGTGTGCGCATTAACGGAATCTCACCGCGGTGACTCACCCCTACACCGCTATACCTCTGTTCGTTTGACAGTTTTATTTTGTTGATGCTGATTATGGATTATGGAAACAATGAAAACCGACAATCGTGGTCGTAACAATATTGCTTTAATACCCTTAATCGAATAAGACCCTCTGCTTGATAGGTGTTATTATTACAGAAAAATTTAATGAAATAATAATTGTCATAAATTAATTTTGATTATTCTTTTTGCAAGGTTATTATTATATTTGATCTGCATTCACAAAAAATGCTTAAATATCTACTTGTCCCAGGTACTGTGAGATGGGACTCGAACCCATGGCCTTTCGCAAACCGGGTGATCGCTCTAACCACTGAGTTACCCAGGATCTAATAGGGCTGACGAATTTTCAAGCTTTTATTATTTTATCGCTACTAACGAGCGCATTTTCTACAATGGTCAGGTTCTTATTCTAACATTACAATAAAACTGATTGAGTTTTGGGTTCAGTTGGATAAATCAAGACGGTAGTTTTACTATGACATAGCTATTATCCGATATCGCGCAGTTTTAACCATGTTCTCAAAAACACAATAAAAGACAAAAAATTGAGTGAAATTAAGTTCTATTGTAAAGGAATTGATGCACACCCCACACTTAAGTTTTATATAACATATCCGTGTTTTTATGTGTTTTTTCTCGTAATTACTAAGTATTCTTTTCTATAAAGGGATAAATGATAAATTGCGACTCACTTTGTCGGCAAGGGTCATATGCAAAACTTAATAACTAGTCTTAATAGTATCCGAGTAATGAATTAAAAATAGTTTTTGGCGTATAATTTGCCATATTCTGTCTGCTGCGGGGACAGTCTTTTGTTTTTATGCTCAGCCCTTATTTACTTTAGCAGTGACCGGTCGTAAAATGGGTGAACAAAAAGTTAATGTCTCGAACTCTTCCATCCTTCGGAAAGCACGTTAAGTCTTTACTCCCTGCATTTGCAATCATTAGCACTGGCTCCTCGTGGTGGGTTGTCGCCCGTAATTTTATCTGACTATCCACAGGTAAGGGTTTTGCCCCAAGCGTTTGGGTACATTAATTGATTGACGATGACGCACACTATTAGAGCCAGGTTGCGTGAATGCGCTCTCTGGTGTCGACGTAGTGCGATATAGTATGCGCGGAGGGTAAAGACACTGACGATATTATACGTTCAGTGATCAGACTCAACGCGTGACATTTATTTATTTAATATCGTCATCGTCTACCAGCAGCATGTCAATTTCTGGATACTTCAGTAAATTAGTATTAAAGTCAATATATCACGTCAACTATTCTTATCGGCAAGGAAACCACATGGATTTCTGCGGTCTGAAAAATAAAAAATCTCAAAATTTAAGACAATTCGGAACGTACTGCAGCGAGGTTATATTAAATTACATTTAGTATAGTTATTTTGTTAAATAATTAATTACCGGTACATATATACAAGAATTGCTCGTTTAAATGTATTAGATTAACACTAATCTAGTACACATAATACTAATATGTACATACACAGATATCGACGCTGGAAAGCAAACACGTAGTAACCTGCACAACCAAAATTGATATTTAGAGAGGAAAATCTTTATATTTTTCAAAAAAAAAAAAAACTTATTTCTGTATAAATTACCTAAGGAATACCTTATTTGTTACCATGGACGTTTATACTCGTAAGACTTATTTATCGAAAAATATAAAAGTTTTTCTGCCCTGAAGAATAATTTTGGTTTTGCCGATTACTACGTGTTTGCTTTCCAGCGTCTATATGTACTATTATAGTATTACATCTACATATTTGTAACGGTATCAGGTAACGGATGCGTGCCGCCTTCGGTGCTGCTGGTGCTGATGAACGAGCACCTGGTGAAGGACAACCTCGCGCTCGAGTTCGTGCTCGAGGTGTTCGCCACCATCAAGGCCGAGAAGGGAGTCACCTCACTCGTCACCGCGCTCAAGAAGGGACAGCTCGAGGGCAGGTCAGTATTCAACTCGAGAATTGGCGCATACACTAGGTTATTTATTTAATCATAAGACGGTTTCGGCTGTCATGGTGAATTTTGTTACATTTCTAAGTAGTAGTAGTTACATCTTAAGTTCTATTTTTACATTTTGACTACCCACTTCAAAAATCTAATTGACAATTTTTCTCGTGTTAATACAAAATAAATGTCAATTTCAAAACTTTTATGTTAAGAAAAGAGAATGCTATACTATTTTTGATCATGTTGATCCCTGAAATTATTTTTGTTTATTTATCCCTGGGTATAACGATTTTGGCTCCAAATGGTCTGTTTATACGCCAAGTGGTTTGTATACATCAATTTCATAATATCTCAGCATGTTGCTGAGATACGAAATTTCTGTTTAAAAATAATCCAATATCAAATCAGCTAGATTCAGATACGTTTTTAAGTAAGACATTCAATGATAACGCGATTCAATAAGATATTCAATCAACAGCCAATTGTTTTAATTGAAGCTGCCTACATTGTGTTACTAAGTACTTCGCTGACGTTTAGTGACGTAACTCGGTGGTGTTTCCAAGCTCATAGTTACGTAGGCAGCAGCAATAGAGATCCGCTATTTACGACAGTACTTATTTATAGAAAGCGATCTATTTACGTACCAACTATTTGCAGTTGTAAGATTAACGTTTGTTATTACGAATCTTGACTTACTATATTGTTTACATAACATTGTAGAGTGGATCGCGTCGGTTACACGGTGTTGCAGTCTCTTATGGCACATTTACACTGGTTATCATAGCCTATATGCGGAGTGCGGGAGATTTCTGTTTGCATATTTCATTCACCGATAAACATAAACCAATGACGGACTTATGAATAAGGGAACTAATTTAAAATGCTAACAACCCTAGTTAGGTTGGGTTAGTTATTATGACAGCTGTCATTTGTTCATGATTAGGGCATTTAATTTCGTCTGATTTTGATATCCACTTTTTATTGCTAGCGTTATGTTTTCAATTAAAATCGTAGTTTTAAAACATTTTTTAAATATAATATTTTTTTTATTATAATTTTTTTAAATGATTGCACATGTATAAAAGTCTATAATTTTAAGTTAAAGGTTTATTTTATTAAGAAAATTGATAAAAATGTAATAAGTAGAATACTTCTGTTTTTCTGATTAGAAATATTTTATAAGCATAAGATTTACACAACATTTTTGTAGTAATATTTTTTTAACTTTATTATATATTAGTGTCACAATGTTTACAAGTTTCAATATATTAAAGGCCAAGTTAAAGATAATTTTGCGATTTGAAGACTTAAATTTATCTCTATTATGTTGTAAATTTTAGTTTTTGTGCAGTTGCACAACTTATTTTTCACTACCGAAACTACCCAATATTATAAATTGTTCCAGTAATTTTGTAGCCTTTTCGATGCAAACAATTAAATCTTTACCTCTTTATAATATTATTATGATTTTTTTAGATTCCTCTACAAGTTAGTTACGTATTTTCGTGTGAAAATATGTTATGCTGTAGGGGAAATATTAAAGCTGCATGTACTGGCGTTGACGTATTATTGCGTCAGAGTCATAAATGTTGCTACATTTCTTAAATTCACTAATGACGAAAACACACTTAAAACGTGATACACCTGACAAATATCGATCTAGCCGGGTCAAATAACATTGAAAACTCCATGCGACCCCATGCTATATGGAAAATAGCTATGTAAGTCCACTAATTTTCAAAATTTCAATCATTGGAAATCTTCCACGCATTATGGCGACTTGTAAACATTATAGACGGGAGAACAGCTCTTTTAACAAACAATGGATTAGTGGCAAATATTCTAAAATACGGAGTCATAATGTGGGGTCATTCAGTGGATATCGATAGGCATTCATCACTCAAAAACAATATTTACGCTCTATATGTAAGTTATCTATAGAAACAACTTGTAAACCACATTTTCAGACTTTGAGATTGTTAACATTACCATGTATTTTCATCTATGAAGTATGTTGCTTTGTAAGAGTTAACAACAAACTTTTAAACAAAACTGTGACGTGAATAATGACTACAGGGGACGATATCCTGAAATATTAGTGTTACCCAAATATACTTACAACAATGCCCTTTATTTAACTTTAATAAAAATCCATACAAGTTATTTTAATAATTAATTTGAATTAAATTAAATAACAGATATGATATTTGTATGCTAATATAATAGCTAAGTGAGTTAAACGATAATTGCTTTTCCACTGATATTATACCTCATTTAAAAGCAAATAAACGATTATTATTAGCTTGCTACATATTTCAACAGTTGAAATATGTATAAACCTATCATAATACTAATTTAGACGTTTTGAAGATTGGACATTTTGCGAATAGCACAGTCTTAACCGAAAATAACAAAATTACCTACCAATTAGCTACTATTGTACATTTAACGTATAAACTATTATAATACAGTTGTAAAGTACATCTATCTTCTATCAATATATACCTATATAACTCAAAGGTGACTGACTTACATAGTGATCTATCAACGCACAGCCCAAACGACGACGGATCGGGTTGAAATTTGGCATGCAGGTAGATGATATGACGTAGGCATCCGCTAAGGAAGGATTTTGATCAAATCTACACCCAAGGGGATAAAATAGGGGATGAAAGTTTGTATGAAACTGTCAATTTTATACCGATCGAGCTGAGACTGCATGCATAAAGCTACTATGACGTAGGCATCACCTAAGAAAGGATTTTGATTAATTCTACCCCAAGGGGGTAAAATAGGGGATGAAACTTTATTTCAGGTATTTTACACGATATAATGAATAAATATTTGTTAGAAATGCTGCTCAAAGTAACTTCACCACGCGGACGAAGTCGCGGGCTAAAGCTAGTATGATATATATGACGATATACGTTATAATGAATCTGATTACATTGTTTGTTTAGACTGCTGGAGTTCTTGCCGCTGAACCGTCGCAGTGAAGAGGTGTTGGCCGCGTCGTTTGCTTCCCGCGAGCTTGCTGAACTGTTGCGGCTACATCGCGCGCAAGCCTCGCAGGTATAATATGCGACAGGGGTTCCCAAACTATTATGAGCAAGATCAACTTTATACTTCAGACTCCTATAGCCAAAATTACTTAAAATTTCTACCTGTAATACATCGTTGCTTCTCATCTATATATATAAAATTCTTGCATTACTGAGTGACTGACTGAATGCCAAACAACGTACTCGACCCCTAAAGGGGTTAATTAGGGCATGAAAGTTTTTATGGAATTTTCTTTTTGGACTTAAAACTAGACCTCGCGGGCAAAAGGTAGTTGAATATAAAGTATAAATAGTACAATATAAATTTTGTTATTAATAGATATAGCATGTTAATAAAAGGCCTACATGTTCTAAAATAGCACTTCTTTTATGAGTTTGCGGTATGTGAATTGTTAAAATATAAATAACTCTGTTAAGTTTTTTATATAAATCCACCTAAATATAATCTGTAACAGCATGACTAAAAATATATTTTTTGTTTGTTTTGTAATGGATTAACAAAATACTAGGCCGATTTTAAAAATTCTTTCACAGATATAAAGCTACGTTATCAGAGAGTAACAACGGATGTAATTAGTCAATTGTAACATAATATAAGCAATGACTATGTGTTATGTTAGGAGGCGCGTCGTGAGCTGACGCAGGCGTTGTTGGACGAGTTGGCGGACGACAAGCCTGTGCGCGATCTCATACAAGAGCTGAGGGACATGGCGCATAAACACTCCATACCAGAACACGAAGTCGTCGCCATTGTGAGTCCATATTTAATTAATTTCTCATTGCTTATATTGTATATTATTATATTATTATTCATTTATTCTGTCATTTCATCATTAGCTCTTTTACGTCCCCACTGCAGGGACTCGGGCATCTCTTATGAATGATTAAGGAGAATGAAACAAAACAATAAATTATTTAATATGATGATACCTGATGACGAGTCGTAGTGTCGTGGCGGGGCGTTGTGAGCTCGTGCGGCTGAGTGTTTCAGCTAAACGAAGTTCCTGCGTCTAAGTCACGATACACTGACGATATGGCAATCTGATTTGAATCTATACTTAGTTACCGTGTCACTATTGAACTCTTAATTCGAGATCTGAACTAAATCATTATGATTTTCAATATTTGGTAAATTTGTAATATTATGTTAGTTAATGTATTAGAAATGGGCTGAGTTTTCATGTGCTGTATTTACTTTTTAGAACTTTTCATATTCGACCCAACAACATGGTTCAAATGTAGTTATGTAGTTTAATTACATATTTCAGAAAATAATAACAAACCGGATTTTGTGCTTCAAATTGAAAACAAAAATGTTGATCCATTTATTTTACAAAGAATTCCTACAAATTGTTACTTCCAAACCAAAATTCGATAAAAATAAGAGATCATAATTACTTAGCTACCTTGAGGACGACTAATCTCGGCGTTTATAATTAATACTGCTATAATTCTATATTTTCTAGTGTTCAGTGATTAAATTTAACAGTGACACGGTGAAACGAGTTCTACATACTACTGTTGGATGTAATTAAAGGTTTAGGAATGTTGTGTAATATGGTATGTTGTACGTGCGTGGTAGATATGGCAGTGCGTGATGTCGCGCGGCGAGTGGAACAAGAAGGAGGAGCTGTTGGCGGAGCAGGCGGCCAAACATCTGCGCCACTACACGCCGCTACTCGCCGCCTTTGCGCAGAACGCCAAGGCTGAGATTGCGCTCCTCTCCAAGGTCAGTTATAGTTGGACATCGGGTTTTATGCATTTGCATTCTTGCATATCGCCCATGAAGAGTCAATAAATAATAACTGACATTTTGTCAATTTTTGTTTTATTGAATTATTCGTTGTAAAATAGATTACTACACAATAGTGACAAAGATTTTGGGTTCTTTCTTATTTTTTTATATATTTTTTGTAAGATAAACAATAATTGCAATGTACTGGAAAAAACAATATAATAGATTTGAAACGTTTTTTTCATCTCCTGAAAATTTGCATTTTTGCAGTTATTATTTATTGACTCTTCATAGACGATATGCAAACGCATATAATTCTATTCATTATAGCGTTATTGAATATTTTGGTACTTTTTTTTAATGATTTAATCTTTATAAAATAGCAAATGGCGAACTTATTGCCAAAAAGGCATTCTCTACCAGTCAAACCGGTGAAGGTGTACAGAACATTTAAAAGGCGGAATCATTAAAAGAACAAAGTTACAATTTCTAACTAGTAATACCAACAGATTATATATAAAATACAATTATATGTATACATACTCACTAAACTTATATAAAAATACATAAACATACAAATAAATAAATATGTATATACACATACTGATAAATCAAGTCAAACTAGGATAGATGAATTGATTGGACTACTAAAATAAGCACTTTTTCATTGATAGTGCTTACTTTGATAGTTGTACATGTTAGGCGTGTTGTATTAGCAATCTCTAAAGGATCTATCGCAAATGGTTCGTAGCAATTTTTATGAAAACTTGAAGACATAAAGATTTACACATTTGTCAACAGCACTGGACAAACTTATTTTTTATTAATATTTTTATATATATAACTGGTATTAGTTGGAAAGTAAACGTAAACTCTTATAATAAGTGATTTTCTGGTTGTGCATATTTTGGAATTTTGATAATTCATTCTATCCTATGTCTAGTATAGTGTAGCACTTGTATCCCAAAGTCGACAGAAGTAATTATACATTAGAATATGTCATAACTTTTTCAAATATTTTAAACAAATATACGAGAATTTGATTGTAGTGAGAACTGCTAATAGCTAATGATAATAGTATTCTAACTATCAACAGTTCTTACATCATTAAAATTGTTGTTTATTTGGTAAAATATCTGCTCAAGTTATGACATATTTTTAATTAATTACTTCTCTCTAGCATATATACGAAAGTAAGAAGTCGTGTCAAACATGTACAAGTTTTTTAAAACTATATTTGTATATAAACAAAAACAATGCCCAAATTCCTTAAAATTGTTCCTAATAATAATTTATTATAAAAATTAGATTTTTTTGTAATATGTGGTTTTGATCTTTTGTTTCATGTTTTTCTTGATTATATAAATTATATTTATCATCTTACCAAAAAATATCGAATTTTCTTATTAATTTAGAATTTAATCGATAACAGATTAAGACTTAATATTGATTGAAGATTTTATGCAGTTTATCAAAATCTAATGACTGTGCCTTTGTAATATTGTGTAGTCAACAAAGGCACTAGCAGAACATTTAGTTTTTGCACATAATTAGAACCGTGTAGCGTATGCAGCGCCATGCGGTGTCGAAATGTGCGACAGTACATGTGAACATTGTTATTATTAGTTGATGCTTATCGTCGGCTAGACGAATAATTTTCACGACATTTTTATTAGATTATATAGAATGGTCTGCGGTGGTTATAGGTTCGATTTCCACAGGCTTATTGCGTATCTACATTGACTTCTATGTGGTCAGTATTGAGTACAATTAAAATTGACTCAACGCTCAATACTGTATTGTTAGATACAGTGTGTATAAAATAATCAACATTTAATAAAAAGCGAATGGAGGTTAAACTCTATTAATTTAATTAATGCATACTGCATTGAATGAGAATTGAACGTATTTTGAAGGAAGTCAATCAAATCGAAGTCAATGTAGTTACGCGGTATACCTGCAGTGATAGGATCACCAATATAAGAAATTTCTAGTAATTATGAACAGTCTAAAAAAAAATACGACAGTTTTAGAATTTATTTCATAGATTTCATTAACCTTAATTTTAGCATCGCTATTACAAGTCTGTAATTTTAGAAAAGAAAAAAAAATGAAATAAGGCTTCTGATTAGTTTGTTTTTTAATCAAATTCTAGCAGAATAATATACTAACGAGTGCTCTCTATCTGACAGGTGCAAGAGTATTGCTACGAGAATATGAGTTTCATGCGAGCATTCAGCAAGCTGGTGCTGATGCTCTACAAGACGAACGTCCTCTCGGAGGAAGTGATCCTCAAGTGGTACCGCGACCCCAACTCCAGCAAGGGCAAGATGATGTTCCTCGACCAGATGAAGAAGTTCGTCGAGTGGCTGCAGAGCGCTGAAGAGGGTAATACTATAGCATACAATTAATATTGATCAAAGTAAAATAATTAGGACAAAGTATTCTAACCTCAGCTATGTTCACAAAAAAAGTATCAACAAAAAAAAAAAAAACACTAAATTAATTGTATCAATGTTTATTCAAGAGCCATTGATGTATAAGAAAGTGATGTGTTTTTTCCACTCTTAGTCTGACGATGTTTTGGTTTTAGTATAAATATGCCTTTTAATGGCTCAATAATTCCAATTCAAAGACTGTCAACAAAGTATCTTTATTCTTAATAAAAAATACTTAAAAATCCATCACTATGTCCCTGGTACTCCAGATGGGATTCAAACCCATACAAATATTTTAAACTTCCGATAAACATGTAAATTTTTCTAGTTATTATATTTGATGAATTTTGCATTCGCAATGCTATACTGGAAAATATTTTTAATGAAAAATATTTAATTTTTTATCAAAAGTTTAATATATTTCTTTCAGCTGTTTGTTTAGATTGCCTGAACATTGATGGAAATATGCTCTGTAGTAGTGAAAAAAATCGGTCCTGTTGGGTCCTGGGTAGCTCAGTGGTTAGAGCAGTCTTCCGTATTGCGAAAGGTCATGGGTTCGAATCCAATCTCAGGGTTCTAGAGACAAAGTAGATTTTAAGCATTTTTCATTTAGAATATTTTCCAGTATAGCACTCACTATAAATGCAAAATTGATCAAATATAATAAAGTACGTTTTCTATAATCAAAATAATGTATCTTATATGTGATTGTTTGATTGCTAAATTATTGTATATAATGTGTAATTTATTAATGATTTCAGAATCTGAAAGCGGTGAAGACGAAGATTAGAATAAGAGCAGTGAGTGAGACTGACACAGTGACGCCCCCCATCCCCCCCACGCGGCCCGCCGCACTAATAATATAATATAATAATAATAATTTGAAATAATTGTTATCTGAGTGCACGTGCGACACTGTATGGGAGATGTTTTCTACAACTGTATATTATTCATTTCTAAAAATAACATGTTGATGAAATACAATATTTTTTATTCAATTTTTTTAGGAAAATTCCAATAAATGGTGGTAACACGCACGATGTTGTTTCATTTTGAAACTGAGACGGGCTGGCTCTGCATTAGTTGTTATTGGAACAATCAAGAGAGAACAAAGTAGTAACTTGAAACGATATGTCGTTTTAACATTGCTAAGATAACGTGTCCTATAAATAAAACTTATATTTGGACAGTTTTGGATTTTTTAAGCATCTTTATAAAAAAAAATCTCATCAAAAACAGATCAGCAGTATTATATTTTTAACGAACTAAGAAAATATAAATAGTATATGATTTTCTATGATTTTTGTTAAGTCGCAATTAATAAAAAAAATATATAATACATTTCTCAAGTCAGTATTAAAAAAAAAAACATTTATTTAGGCTACGTATACCTATATCCTCTATATTGTACCTACAATGAATCTGATATTAGTTATTAGATTTTGCCTGCCCTATCTAGTTGCCTATACTGACGTTATTGAAGTGTGCGTATTCAAATAAAGCACGGTAAAAATATAAATAGGATGAATGAGGCAATGCAAAAAGACTAGGACAATGCTTCGCTTTTTGTTTTCTTCCCATGGGAGCTCGAGGTCAATCGATTCTTTTTTAGACCGATCTGGATGATACTCAACGGTTTATAAAATTAATTTGTTAATTAGGTGTATTATAATTTATTATATGAAATCATTTATTTTATTGTTTGTTTTATTTGTAACCTTTTGACTCTTTAAATTATTTTTTTATATATTTAATGTGAGTTATTGTTTACAAATTTAAAAATAAATGCCACTTATTTTTATTACAATATTTTTTTAATTGTACGTTTTTTCGAAATAAAAACACTGATGTGAAAAAGTGTTTTGCAACTTATCAGTGAAATGGACAGGTCAGGAAATACTGGGGAATATGAACCAATCTAACCTCTCCTAACAGTTTTTAACGTAACGAGATATACAAATTGAATTAAGGATTAAGATTCAGTATAATTAGATATAAAAGAGATGCCGATTAATTTTTGACTTCTGTCCGTCAGGTAGATAGATTTGTTGAAATATAAAACTGAAAACGTATTTTTTATATTGTTTGCGAAATCATTACGGCGATACATTGAGTTGAAATGACGTAAAGCCGTTGTACATTTCCCTCTCCTTAATTTCAATGCCTATTATCTTAGAGATTTCTAGTTAAACTGAAACAAAAAAACCGTCTAATATTTTTCTATTATCTGACTGACGGTCTAAATAGATTTTTTTTTACCCGTAGGTTAAATGCCTAATCATACCTACGTAGTATACCTACAGAACAACTTCTCAATAGCTAAAAAGTAAATCCTTTAATTATAGGGAAAAAAGAAACTTCATACGTTAGAAACTTCATAAAATCGTACGGTTAAATGTATGGTTAGCAAAAGTATTTAGAGAAACACCGTATTTTATATGTAACAGGTAGAAAAATACTTTAAAATTTCATCCAGCCCAGTTGCCAAGCTACCTTCTACCTATTATTTACAATTATATAGTTACAAGTAACTATTGCGCACTGCCGGGTTTTTGTCTTGCTCCAGGTAAGAGATGGGAATCAGTGTTCGGTCCTTACAGCGAACATAGTACCACAGTCTACAACTATTTCCAGTTTTCGTATGTTCGTCAGAAAGATATGCTTCGTTCGATGCCTCCTAAATATTAGCTGTTTTCCCGCGACTTCGCCTGCGTAAATTATAGCCTATGATGCAGCTTCCCTTAGGTCAGGTAAAAGAATTTTTAAAATCAGCCCAGAAGTTTCCGAGTCTATTCGATGCAAACAAACAAACAATCAAATATTTCCTCTTTATAATATTAGTATGTATAGATTTTATTCTAATTTTTGGTTTGAATGTATCGCAGGAACTGAAAACTTTACTTTTTTTAAACTAAAGTGTGAAACAGGGGTAGATAGATATCTATTTATCATTAAATATAAAAATAAGTTGCTGTTCGTTTGTCTCGCTAAAAGCTTGAGATTTAGGATTTGTAATGTTTGTCGTAGTCCACAGAAAGTTTAAACAGTGAGAAGTAACGGAGTACACTGGGTCATTTAGAACCAAATAAATTTGATTATTGCAATCTTATTTTTTGCATTAGTTTGCTGTACAAACTAAAGAGAAAAGTTTTTCATTTTCGTTATTAACCCATTCCTCCCCACTGTCATATTTTTAAGACACCATTTTCAACATTTTTTTTTTTATCTTTTAGATCATTTATTTTTATTATTTCAGATAAAATTCGTATTTTTACACTGTTTTTCTGGTATATATAAATTTTTTTACTGCAATAATTGTATCCGTAAATTTAATGTACTTTTTTCAAATTAATCATTTTGTTGCCTAGAAAAAAAGCATTATATTTTGATTTTATATACCTTAAAAGAAAAAACTTGTTAACTCCAATTTATATAAAACTGATTCTTAGACCTTTACTAAATGTATACAAAATTAAAACATAAACAAAACATGGTTTCAAATCTTGTGGTATTCTTTCAAAATAAGCCGTATTATAAATATGACACTGGGAACATGTCTATACATTTTGCCGCGACAGCACGTTCGATCTTGCAACGCACTAGTTCAAACGTTTCAATTGTTTGTCTCTTGCGGGTCTTGTGTTTGCATTACTCGAAAGGTTAGTTCCGAACACATTACATGTCGTGATACAATTGTGATTTATTTATCAAACTAGAGTTCAAAAATAGTGATTACGTAGAAGGTTGTAACAAGGTGAGTTAAAATATTTTTATTTTGTACAATATACCTATTAGTTGTTAGGTAAAGGTGTAAATTATATGTTTTTATTATTTATAGATCATGAATCCAGTAAATAAAAAGTATAAAAAAGCTTTGAAGGTGTCCGAAATCACAGACTATCTTCAAGATTTAGAAGATTGTCGAGATGAGGAATTGGACGACATTGAAATTGCCATATTACCTCCTGACGAAGTGGACGAAATGACTGACATAGAAGAAGGTCCTGATGACGATATGGGAGTCCTACCAGTATCAGATGTAGCTGGTTACGTTAAATTTTTATGTACAATTGACAACGAGGAAGAAGACCATAATACCCCATCCACGTCTCGAACAAACAAGACAGTAAACTTGGCGTAAGTGTAATCCAGTATACTCTGGAATTCATTCGGAATCTAATACTGCTAAACAATATTTGGCAAATATGACTACGGAGTTAGAAGGAAAATCAGCGATAGAAATATTAGAAAACTTGCTATGTGAAGATATTTTAGAATATATTGTGCGAGAAACAGTAAACTACGCCAAACATTATAAAAATGATTTGAATTTCGATTTAACGGTAAGTGACTTAAAAGTGTTTATAGGAATTCTGTTTTTCTCGTCGTACCATCACTTGCCTCAAAGTAAATTATATTGGTGTAGAGATGAAGATGTACATATTCCGTTTGTTGAAAGAGCTATGTCTCGTAATCGTTTTGATAAAATTAAATCTTATTTACATTTTAATGACAACTCAAAAATTGATAATACTGACAAAGCTTTCAAAATACGCCCATTTATCGACAAAGCTAATGAGTCCTTCCGAAAGTTTGGAATATTTGAATCCAATTTAGCCGTTAATGAGATGATCGTCAAATACTTTGGTCATCATGGGATCAAACAATTTATAAAAGGTAAACCAGTGAGGTTTGGATACAAACTTTGGGCTCTGTGTGGAGTCAGCGGATATTGCTATAACTTTTCGCTTTATACAGGCAAGGAAACTCAAATCTCTGATAATGGTGATGGTTTGGGTTCAAGAGTGGTGAAAAAGTTACTTGCAGTTTGTACAGATCCCAGTGCACACGTAGTTTACTTTGATAACTTTTTTAGCAGCATGCAATTGTTAATCGATTTGAAATCTCAAGGGTTCAAAGCTACAGGGACGGTCAGAGACAACAGGACTAAGAAATGTCCTATCATGACTAAACAAGAAATGAAAAAGAAAGACCGTGAATATTCCGATCATCGTTTTGATAAAAATAATGAAATATTATGCGTGAAATGGCATGATAACAATGTGGTATGTCTTTTGACAAATTTTGATACTATAGAACCTTTTGTAAAAACTAATAGGTACTCGAAAACAGAGAAAGCAAAAGTAGCTGTGAATCAGCCAAAGCTTATTCATAATTATAATAAAAACATGGGAGGAGTTGATAAACATGATTGGCTGATTTCTAAATATCCGATTCGCTTTAGAGGTAAAAAATGGTATTGGCCTCTAGTCATTCGTATTTTAGACATGTCCCTAGTAAATGCATGGATTATTTACAACGAGGTAAATAAAGTTGAGACCATCTCTCTACTAGATTTCAGGCGTAGGGTTTGTTTTGCTTGGATGAAAAAATCGGAAGGCAAGGCAAGCAAACCAGGCAGAGGAACATCAGAAAGTCTTTTACAATCCATCAGGTTTGACAATATTGGTCACTATATGACGAAGAGAGACAAACAGAGGCGTTGCCAGGGACAAGATTGTAAAAAAAAACCTCTTACTTTTTGTGCTAAATGTGAAAAAACACTCTGCAGTGATTGTTTTATACCTTATCATACAAAATATGCTCTTAAAACTTAATATTTAAAACTGTTTATGGTCATAGTTTTCAAATACAGTTGATTTTCTTATAATTGATAACTTTCATTATTTTTGATCACATGTCCCCATTGTCATATTTATAGGACAGGCTGACTCAGCATTAAAGGTAGTTAATATTTTTCTTTTTTCTTCATATTATTTTTTATAAGCCTATTATGAACTTAATTTCAAAATTTGACCAAAAAATTCCAATGTTTTCGATGCCTGGGAAGTAATGGGTTAAACTTGGGCTAAAAACAAAAGAGATAACGTGATGAAATCAACCATCAATAGGTAGCTAGGGACAGAGGATGCGTTTTGTGGGTTATATTTCAAACTGACTTCAAAAAAGGGAAGCCGTAGGAAAAGAAATTGTAGGTGTATCCACTTTTTATAAAAAAGTATTATTATTTCTTTT